TACTAATAACAAAGATTCCATATCTTTTATGAAAAATATATTTTAATATAATATATTTTAATCCATAAAAAATTCATAAAAATTAATTCACAAAAATATATATATATATAAGTATCACAGAAATAAGAAATGAATTAAAATCATGAAAATAGCATCAAAAAATTTATCTATCAATCAATATATTATATATATATAATTTTACAAAACTATTTACTATTTTTCGATTATCAAATAATGACTATGCAAAAAATATAATTTCTTAGTATTAATTATAATTTTTTGACTATCAACTAATCATTGACTAGCTGATATAATAAGAAAAGTTCGTCATGATTCGTCAGAGACGACAACTCATGCACTTTAATTGCAATCGTATCACATTCCAAAGTCCAAAGATATAACATACTTACACAGAATGAAATAATTTCTTTTTTATCAGTCGACAACTTTCACTGTAATCGTTCACCAACCACTATGTTTAATTACGCAACTGAACAATCGAATTTCGATCGTTCGTTCGATGGATCGTGCAATGTATCTCTGCCTCTTCCTTTTTCCACGTCACCTCGATCTCGTAACTACGTGTCGTGAAATTTCAAAGTAGCCACTACCTATATTTTATCCGAGCAAACGGGTACTTTATCGGCCCGCGAGGTAGTAAATCTTCGGTTTACGAGGGCTCCATCGACTTTTCTTCGTCGATTTTTCCATCCATTTAGCGATTTCTCTGGAATTTATTGGTTAATTAGGGACGAGTATAGTGGAAATAGTTTATGAAATTATTGGCATTTTATCGATTTGAATTTATAAATGACTTAGGATCTTAACATTTTTTTTATTTGAATTTTTATTTTTGTTGAAGCGAAGTTTATAATATTTGAAAATATGAATAGTTATAATGTAGATGTTTTGATAAGTATTCTTTTTTCAAATTTTTTTGATAAATCTGATACAATAACGAAATTAGAATTCTTGGATCCATTTAGGCATGAGTAATTTTACTTTTGAATATTTCGAAAATGAGGACAGAGAGGATTTTAGATCAATCCTCTTTGCCCTCGTTTTCGAAATATTCAAAAGTGAAACATTGTTTACACCTAAATGGATCCAAGTGTTTTTGATCGAGGTATTTGCCAAATTATATCATCGTATATCTGTTTTCGAATAACGAAGAGATTAAAATCAGAAATTTTTAATAAATTGTATTATTTCATTCTATAATTAAATTGTTCAAAAAGAAATATTTAAGATATTACTTTTAAAATTAATTAAATTGGATTTACACTTTTAAGTATATCTTCATAAAGACACAAATCGAGAAGTACAATAAAATTTGTATAATCAAAATTTATTTCAAAAAAAAAATCAATAAAAATGCTCAAATTATAATCTGATATAATATAAATTTTTCAATCTCACTCTTTAAGTATTAATATATTCAGAAACTACAACGAATTTGAAAAATTGTTAAAAAAAAAACTAATTCATTACTTAACCTGTAAAAACTCTCGACTTTATTATAAAATTTAACCAACTTATTCCATCTTACCAGTCTAGATGACTCTCTACTTAAATGATTAATATCGTTTTTATCGCAAGTTGTATGTAACAGCGTATATCATAAATCTCACATATTCGAGAAACGTCCTTTCGAGTCGTTTCGAATAATTACGTTCCGTCAATTCACCTTTGAGTTAATACATCTTGTCCGGTCAAGTTCCTATATGGACTAGTTTGTCCAATAAGTAGGATTGCCGTCAATGCCACTTTTACAATCACGAGTTTTCCCTTGTCAATAAATTTACCATAATGTTATGTCGTCGATCTTTGTCGCAAAAGGGAGAAGATGTTGTTGAATTTCGAATAAAGAGCGAAATTTCTAGAGAGGCCACTCTATGGTTGGTTTCCAACATTTACTGCCAGAGTGAGAATGTGCTCGTGTGGAAACGCTGCTTAATGATCCTTGGTTTCTTCGTTCTCGATTTTATACGCGTAAAAAAAACTTTATTAAGCCTGTATCATATTTGATTAAATCGATTAATTTTTGTTCGAAAGAATAGAGATTATGTATTCGATTATAGGGAAATTGTGTTTGTTTTTTTATACTTATGTGCTTTTTGAAAAAAAATAATGTGTTTATAAAAATTTCTAAAAGTTTATAAGTTTGTAACGATTGTATAATATAATTGTTAATACTTTGATAAGCATTTTGAAAAGTTTGATTTGTGTGTTCATTTCTTTTTAAAATTTATATGTTTTTTAAAGAAAAGTTGACAATATGCTTATAAAAGTTAACAAGATTTGTGATAGTTATATAATGTGAATGTTTTAATGAGCATTGTGAAAATTTTGATTTGGAATCTTTGTAAATTTATTGATTTTTACATTTGATAAGAAAAATAAAATATTTTTGAATTATGTGCGAAAAGAATTTAAGATATTATATATATAAATTAAGTTCTTTCTTGAAAAATCGTAAAAATAACATTGACCTTTTGGTATGAGAAATAAAAATATATGATATAGCTTTAAAAATAATCAGAAGTGAACGATAGAAATATCAGGATATAACAGGATATATTATAAAGAATTTATACGAACTTATTACGAATTGTTTTAATTTTTCTGGCCAAATCTTATTATATTATATAATAACTATAAGAGATAAGAAGGAAATGTCAAATACTTTCATTTCATTATGCATGTAATACACGATAAAAAAAAATTCATTCACAATTCAGTCACTAGTTGTTAATAATTTATTTCATAATGTTTATTGTATCAATAAATGTAAAAGTGATAAAGATAAAAAATTAAATTTTTATATATATTTTTATATAGTCATATCAATTTTTTTATATATCATTTTTTTTTTATTTATAATCATAGAAAAATACTAATAAATTTGAAAAGAGGAATAATATTTTATTCATATATACAATAATTTTTCTTCTTCTAATACAAAATATTTATTCTATATATTTATTCTATAATTAAAATTTAATAAATATTAATCAAATAATTAAACATGTTTAATTCAACTCCAATTGAATCGATCAAATTAAAACTACGCGTAATTACCATAACCTCTTATTTCATCATAAAAGATTCTTTCATCGATTTTTTAAATAATCGAATCTTGAATAATCGAAATTATTCAAAATGGAGGAAAATAAATCGAAATTGTGAATCGAAAATACGTCATTACATTCTCGTTCTCGAAAATGTGTGAATTCGATTATTCGCGAGTTCTTTAGTAGAATGTGCGGATGGTCACGTATAACATCTTTCGTTTGAATTCATCTCGCAAAAGTATGTATATTCTAAAGCCGGCTTATCTTTTGAGCGACACCGTTCCAAAATTCGTTCTCATGGCTTATCATAGAGAATTTGCGTGCTAGATATTCAATTCTTTCCGAGAAATCCTCTCGAAAAACACGTGACGTTCTCGAAATTCAAGAAATCGTTTTTGAGTTAAACTTTTTTGCAAACTATAAATAATGATTATAATATTGATTGGATAAGAATCTACATGTTTTGTGCTCTATTAATCAAGATAATTGTTAAAATATTATATTTTTTATTGAATAAATTAAAATATTTTTTGTTTTAAGAATAAGTGTAGGACCTAAATTGCAGATAATAAACTAAACAACAAAAAATTTAATATTTGTTAGAAGTATATTTCCTATTGAAAAAATGAAAATATTTTCTGCTTTGGAATAGTAAAGTAAATGAAAACCATATAATGATTGTTTGAAAAAATTGAATTGAATAAATTCTTTTTTCTTTAATTAATTGATTTGATATTTTTTTTATTTAAATTTGAAGTTTTGTTTATTTTATCATTTATTTAATTTCATATAAATATAAAAGATCTTTTTTAAAATAGAAAAATAGGAAATTTTTATAGAAATTTAATATCACATGAGAAAATAATATTAAAATATAAGTACAAATATAAGTACATTAATAAATATAAATTCATATATTTATAAAACAAGAAATGAAATATAACAAAAAAAAATATTTTCATTAAACAAATGTTAAAAATATTATTATAAATACATAGTCTAAAAATACATTTCTTTCATCTCTGGTATTTATAATGGATCAATTATGGAACGTGTTAAAAGAAACTCTCGCAAAGAAAGGAAGATACAAAAATTCGGTGAGCAACGAAATTTACGAACTTTCGCTTTCAAGAAACATTTCACGAACGATTTTTATTGTTTTCCGTTAGTCTCACTTTCCACTTGAAATTACACACACAATATATTTGTATAAATGATTTTTTTTTTAATTTTGGAAACTAAGTTTAAAATTATATCTATTGATGTTTTCACGTTGTTTCACATGGAAATTTTAGACTAATAATGTGATTATATGCTATTATTTTCTGATATAAATCTGGACAAAATAAATTTATTGACTGTAGATCTTATCGTGATACATGGCAATTTTAATAATGAAGAAATTATTAACCACACGCGTATTATGTCATATATATGATCCTATCTAATAATTTTCCATATTTTTTTCTTTACTTATTCAGAACTTTTTATATTGACAAATTTTCGTCAAAATGATAATTTAATTCATGACACATATTATAGAATAAAAAAATAAACTTATTATATCCAGAATTAAAAATATTAAGAAAAAAGAAATCTTATCTTTAATTTTAAAGATCTTCATTATTCAAAAATCTTTCAAATCTGATATACAAATATCATACAAAATATTATTCTATCAAAATAAAATTCTTGAAATCTAGTATTTCTTTCAATTTTTCTTCTAACTATAATAATAAGAATAAAAATATAAAAATATTTCTTCACAATATCAAACACAATATCCATAAATATCCAGTTATGTCCACAAGATATCTCCCCACTGAGATAACCCCGAGATCATCTGGTCGCTCCATTTTTCGTGAAATATCTTCGAATTGTCGAATTGTGCTCGATTTCTTAGAAACAATCGCAACCCAGATCAGGCGAATGTTTGTGCGACAAATCAATTTTTGTTCCTTGAAACCTGCCAAGACGAGAGTGAAAGTTGCACGCATACTACTCGCTCGATTTCTGTACTTCAGTCAGTAATTATTTCAGTTTTTCTTTGTTCAAGAAAATTTCATTTATAATATATATAAATATATGCGAAGATTCTTGCATAACACGTTTTCAACGTCGTTCGATCGAACATGGTCCCTTTGAATATACACAGATTTTCACATTTCATGGAGGATCGTTTGAATAACCAGTAATTTTCGTCAATTTAAGAGAGGGTTCTCTTGTTGGAAATTAGCTCGGGTTAGCGATGGGATGAAGTTCAATATGTATACACGAATACAAATAAAATAAAAGTTCCATCTTTAATTTTAATACTTATAAGAAATCACGTTTTACTTTTTTGTATTTTTTATGCGTTTAGATTGTATTTAATTGTGAAATATTAATTTGTTTATTTCACTTTTTCATTCATTTTAAGAATTCAATTCATAAAGGAATTCATTATTTCATTATAAAGTATTCATTGCATAGAATTCGATTATTCAATTATTCATAAGAGATCATATTTAATTTTTCAATATAAAAAGCTTCATGAGTTTTACTCATCATATTTCATTTTCAATATAAAAAGTTAATTTCATTCGCTTTATTCATTTCATTCAATTTTGATTATTATTTAGTCATAAGAGATCTCATTTAATCTTCAAATAAAAAAGATTCATTTCTATCATTATTCATGAAAGATCATATTAGTTGCAATATACTTGTGCCCATCACTATTCAGAATTAATCAAGAATCGAACTAAATTTCGTTTTAGCTCTTTGGATACTTTGATCGCAAATCGTGATTTTCGCATTATTTTTTTTCACGGATGCATCGAGATCGGTGTTTCGGTCATTTTTCCGAACATTATCGTCCAAAGGCAATTTGGCCGTGATTGTACCGCTGATATCGTGTCGTTCCCGATGGAACAACTCGGCGTAACGAGTGGTAATCGCGGAATCGTGCGATCTGCATGCATAATCATTTATTCCAAAAGCGTTAAAATCGGTTTCGATAGGTAGGTTAACGAGCATTTAGGATCTAATGATATTGCTGTTTTCGAGAAACGATATTTCTCTCGATTTTAGATATACTTTTATAATAAGATAAATCCTTGTTACAAATCCATTCAGCTTTTGATGGGCTTCGTATCAAAATTCGGGCTGAATTCGATCCTACGAAATGGAATTCTATATTTGTCGATGTGAAAGTTGTTATTGATGAAAGTTGTCGTTTCAAAAGATATCGTTATTATTTGATGAGAAATCTGACGAAGGTGTTACTTAGTTATCCATTTGTTTAGATATGAAACTAACGTTTAACGTTTCTATTAAAATATAAGAGATTTCCTTAATCCTTTCACTCATAATTAGATGTAATTATAAAGCATAGTTTATAAATTTTGTATCTTAAATATTATTATATATAAAATAAATAAACTTTCTTTCAAAATTTTCGTTTTTAGATTAAAAGATCATTCATCTTTAAGTTTCGTTTTGTAACAATTTTCAAGAAATCTCAAAAGAATCTGAAGAAATAATTCTGAAAACAAAAATAGAGAAAAATCAAATAAAAGTAACGAAACAAGATAGAAGTAAATAAACTTTAAATCACGTTTAAACTTTGATACCATCGGCTGTCAATTCGACATCGTGTCGACGTTAAAGAAATTTCTTTGAAGTTGAATCAGTGCTGTTTGTCTTCACACGTGTCTCGAATCTTCTTTCGCGATTATAAAACAATATATAGTTATATCACGTTCGGAAAATCGTGTCTCTTTTCGCATATGTTTTGCAAATATTCTGCTTTGTCTTAGTTTTCTCAAAACAAGAAAGTGTCTACGTCGAAAAGAGGTATTAAGAAAAGAGGAACCGTTTGAGGTAACGGAGATACACTTGTTCGCGATTCCAGCAGTCAAGTCATAAACCTGTCCTCAACTACGTGAGGTCGATGATAAGCAGTTGACTGATAAGGTCGTTGCTAGTGACAGATATTTTCTTCGGTGCATAAAATCGTTCCTTTGAAAAATGATTTCCACATGAAGTGAGGAAAAATTTTTTCTTTGTTTTGCAAATATTCTTTTCCTTCGAAGGTTAAGGAACTTAGATTGTGGAATATTAGAATTTTGTTATTATTATTGATAGATTGTAATAATCTTCTTTCCTTTAGAGGAAATTCTATTGTTCCATAATAGTTTTTTCACTGGAATTTTAATTAGAATTATTGAAAGTGCCATTATACTATTTTATAGCGTTCTATTTAATTTTTTAATCTAATCACCAACATATATAAGTTCATCAACATATATTTCAACAGAACAATGTTATTCAAATATTTTACCTATTATTGATATGTGATTTCCTGCTTTCACGTTTTCTGGAACGTGTCCAATTGTACATTTTACTTCATAAATTTCTATAAGCTCGTTCATCGTGCTTTATTGACTTATTGCATAATCGTATAGCGATTAGACTTTGTTTGATTAAAATTGCACACATTCATTATCATGCTTATCTATTTCAATATTTAACAAACAAACCTAGAATTTTTATTTCTCACGTGAGCAAATTGAAAAGCAACAAATTCTCATCTCTATCAGTATGGTAAATTCTGTCTTAAATAATTAACAGATTATTATCAAAAATAGCATCAAGACTTCTATGTAAAAATTTTAAATTTAATCCTTTCTTTCATCATTTTTTCTGTAACAAAAAAAAATTTTATATTTTTTATTTTTTTATATTTTTTTATTTTTGTAACAATATATAAGATGAGAATACAAAACAATGAATCTATCCAAACAAATCTTTTATTGAAATGGAATGATGAGATTTTTTATAAAATCGTATGGTGCTCCCTTTTGTCGATGACTCGTCGTTAACGAGAGGCGGACGTGCAAACTAGTGGAAACAATTGGTCAATTCGTCCGCGGCTAATTAGAGAATTGCAGCGATGAAAATATCGGCTGACTCTTAATTCGATTCAGCCAATTAACTCTCTTCGTTCTTCCATGGATGACCATCTCGTCTCTCTCGAACAACCGAGTTTCTCAAAGCGTTCTGTTAAAAGATGAGTTTAATAGAACCGATTAAATGGATTCATGAAAAATAATGAAAATTTTTATAGAGTCGAAAAATTTTTGAAATTTTGTGTATAATTAAATTTACTATAATATTTTTTGGTCATAGAGATATATTACGTTGTTATTTAGTGACAGAAACATGTGGAAGAGAATGACTAAATACTTTCACGATAAAAGTTTTAATATATGCAATAAAGGGTTTAAACATAAAAAATTTTAATTAAATCCTGAAAAATTATTTTAATTAAATTTTGTATGTTTTCCAATATAATATAACTTATTCTCATTTTTATTTTGTTTTATCATAGAATTAAATTCAATGGATGAAGTAGATCAATATATTTACAGTACTCTATAGTTATCTTTAAGGTAATTATTGATCAAAGATTGTATGTTTTGAAGACATGTAGTAATAAATTAACTTTATTGAATATAATTTAACTTTTAATTATCTATTTATGGAATTTTATTAGAAAAGTAAAACTTTTGTATGTGATTTAAAATCAATGAATAAGGATTAATGATCATGTGAGGGTTAAACATTTCAAAAGCAGATAATAATTTAATTACTATGTACATAATTTACTAAGCTCAATTTACCATTTGTAACATAGTGTCGTAATTGAAAAGGAAGTTACTAATAAATTAATTATTATATTTATATGATCTTCTACATATATATAATTTATAACATTGTATTTATAGAAAAGTGATACTTTTATATACACTCCAAATATAATAGCTGATAAAGAGTAAATATTTCAAAGGTAGTGATAAATTAATTGCTTTGCATAATTGCCAACCAAGTTTATTGGGCAAAGGCAATTTATCATTTATGTGATTTATGGTGTTATAATTATTGAAGTGGTAAACTTTTGCATATATTCTATTTGATGAGTTTATAATGATCATTAAGATTCAATTATTAAATGTTGCATTGATAATAATAAATTAATAGATAATAATAATGTTTTATGCGCTCGATTCTTTAAATATTTATCTAAATAAAATTAATAACATTAATATAATATATTTATTTATGATTATCATATTATTTATGATTATATTATCATATTATTTATGATAATCAGTATAATCAATATATTTACATTAATTTGATTTAAGTATCCAAAGATAATTAATTTATTAATGCAATTATAATTAAAAAAGCATTACTTTAGTATTCGATCCTAATTTAATGTACATTGCCTATAAAATTAAATTCATAAACAACACAGATGTCGAGTTCAAAGTTTAGTTCATCTAGTTGTCCTAAGAAATTAGGTCATATCACAACGAAAAAGTGTCACGTGATACGATTATGAATCATACACATGAAATATATTGCGTTTTTTTATATAATATTATAATTTAAATATATTTTAAAAATTCAGATTAAAGAAATAATAATAAAATAAATAATTCTAATAATATTGTCAAAACTTTCTCCTAATTAATAATAAAATTATTGTTTTAATTCTGTTTTCTTACGATTTATATTTAAATATATATAAATTTTAAGAATTTTAATAAAAATTCTCAAATGAATCTAATTATTATAAGACTCGTTAAAATACAAACGAAGTTATATTAGAAACTTCCCGACAAACAAATGAATTAATTGAACGCAGTTTCGAGCGCACAAACTTTATATTGTGTTCCACAAGAAAATTAATCTATGGATCAGTAGCCCTGTTAGGTAACGTCGCTCGTCAATTCAGAGACGTTAAATAATGACTGATCGTTAAAAGTGGATTATAAAATGAATTACGAGTTGGTAGATAGTTCGAAAGCCTAATAATTTCCTATGTTTTCTCCCGAGTATTCTTTGCTTCATTTGCCTATAAAGAATGTTTAATCAAGGAGAAAATGAGAGAAGAATACCTGTAATATTTATCATCATTGTTAATGAGAATCTTTATCGCAAGTCGAGATATGAAATGTACGTGGCAGATATTTATTTCATCAAAGATTGGATCACTGTCTCTTTTGCCTGTGTATACAAGATTTTCCCATTTACAGAGTCATGGTTACATCGGTTGAAGTCTGAAAACTTTCAGACTTTTGCCCATTATATATAGTTTCTCTGCTTTGTTCTATAAATAATGTTTTGTTTTTCTTTTTTTTTTCCAAGCTACAATGAGAAAAATTTTCGTTAGATAATTAAATATTAAATATTAGATAATTAAATATTAAATTTAATATCAAGATAATTTATAAACGAGATCTGAATATTTGTATAATTTTTAAAAATTTTTAGAGTGCTTTTGTTAAAATAATAATTGTAAAAATGTTTAATATAACACAAAAATATATTAAATTCTTTGTTTTATTTAGAATAAAGAACGTAACATACTTACATTTAGTTCGAAGTTATTTATTGTTTTATATAACAAATGATATATTAGAATTTCATTTAATTATATTATCAACAATGTTTATATGTATTTAGCGTTTTGAATCAAAATATTTTGATATTATTTACGCATTATTACGAATGATCGTATTATTATATCGTTTACATAGGTTTTTAAATAATATATTATGTGTGAAAAATTTTGTGATAAATTTAATTCAGGAGATGAATCAGAAATATAAGAAATGTTATCATATATGTTTTCATAATAGTCATTCAAATTAGTTCTCTTATCATCTTTTTAAACATTAATGTTTTGCAATTTTTTATTTGAATTTAATATATTAATTTAAGCATAATTTATTTCACCTATTTTATTTCATTCAAACTTAAAAATTGAATATAAGTATATTTTTAAAATATTAAAATAAAAAAAAGACATATAAAATAAAGAATAAAAGGAATGTATAAACATCAAACTATATACAGCATAAAATCAAACAAAAATATTTTATATTTATGAATGAATATAGATTTGAGGTTATTTTAACTTTTGTTTTGCATTATTAATAATTCATTTCGCATTATCTCTTTTGCTTTATCATTTTCTAAAACATTTCATATAATTTATAATAATCTTAAAATCTAATCATTTTATTTTCTTTAAATTATTTTCATTTCAAAATTTATAAATCAAATAAATAAATATCACAATGAAAAAATATAGTATAGTATAAATATTCATTGTCATATAACAATATGTATAGAAATTTTTCTTAAAATTGCGATTAGTTGTCTTTATAAAATGATTATTATAATCACTTATCTTTCTTTTAAATTTCTATCATGTACGGTGCACTTTAATGACGCCTTTGATGTCCACCATCTTGCTTTCAAACGAACGATACGATCGTCTACTTCGTTCGATCTCGTAATTATATTTTGAATAAGCGTAACGATATATCGAAAGAAAAGAGGCTGTTTGTAAACGATCAGAGGATCGCAAAGTCGTGTCTTCGATGTGTGTTTCTTCTTGTTGGGTACTCCGGACCTGGAGGTGGGGGATGCGCCCGAAGAGACAGTCTAGGCCGAGTGCCTCGACGTGTATAAATACAAGCAGTCGGCTTCGTTCTCGCTTAGTCGCTGCGATACTCGATTCTCGTGACGGCATGTCGATTCAAGTGTGTGTACCCTGATATCTCGATTTATCGCAATCGGCTATTGTCGCGAAGTGTAAGCAAAGTAGATGCACGCGTGCCCGCAATCCGATACGTTTTATAATAAAGTTACGAAAAAGAAAAAGAGAGAAAAAGTGAGAGAAAGTTGCATGTTTTTTCCCCCGATTACGCACTTATCTCCTTCTTCTTTTATACAAGACGCACATCCTACACAGTCACAGTTTCATCAAAGTATCGAAAGATTGCGCGTGTCACGTGTTTCTCATTGTACTCGATCGCGCGCTCGATTTTGGTCTATTGGCATTGCAACAACGTCACGTCGGTATCGCGACGGGAAAAGAAGTGTGTTCAACATTGCCGGCATCATTGGACCAAATATCAAATTCTCTATAATTCGTTGCCACGGTTTCAGAAGAAAACGAATACCGTGGTTTAACGTCGCTATCAGAAAATCGAGTCATTAACCTAAAAACCGTTCCTCTTTCGACAGAAAACGGAAAAAATGTTCGTAGTTTCATCATAGAAATCGTAAAAGAGAAGAAAGACGAAATTCAATTGGAAAGAAAAAGTTTATCTTTTTTCGCTAAAGACGTTCGACAAATCATCAAATTCATTTCGAGTGATTCTAGATACATTTCAGCTTCAAACGCCTAGGACCTCTGACGGTTTGAGAACGAAACAAAGGTCGAATTGTTGATGTCTTTAAAGACGGGAACGAGTTTCCAACAAGGGCTCTCGACTTACTAGAAAATAGAGAAACAAACTACAAGCAAAAGCGCGAGGTAGTCGGTCGACCACCGTTGGCTGGTTCCGCGCACGATTCTCTTGGGTCAACGATCTGTTGGTGGATCTCACACTTGAGCTGTTCTTGGTATACACATACCTGCGGACAGGTCCGCTCGATACGATATAGGTTCGTGTTCAGTCGCGTTCATTGGATATACGCGCGTATTCGTTCCGATAACACGTTTCACGAGGAGTGAAAAGGCGGTCACTCGGTACGCCGCCGTGGCTGCTTTCACCGGCGATGGAATAATGCCGATCAAGCCTTAACGGTACGCAACTCATGCCTTCTCATATTTTCCTTGCAAACAAAAATGATCGCGGATCTCGGGTGATTACGGTGTGCAGTGTGTCGCGAGAGTTTCGAAGTGGTTTTATTCTTCATTGTTAATATAGTGTCGCGAGTGTCTCGGTGTTATTGGTTACTAGATAATATAGTGAAACGTGGATACGCTTCGTTTAGCCGAATCTGGTGCCCGCTTCGTTTCGAAGATTTCGATCGATTCGGTCACATAGCATGGAAACCAAGATGTATATCAGCAATGAGCCACAGAACAACGGTCATATAACTGCCAAATACGCATCTACAAACTCGATCCCGTCTATAATGGAGAAAGAATCGTCTTTCGCTAAACTTATTGGCGCTGTTGGCAGAAGGGACTCAAACGCTATATTGCGCGACAATAAAGGAAGAAGGCACAGTGTGCTTGAAGATTTAAAGGCGCGAAGAGATAGTTTATTTCAAAAGGCAAGACGCGGCAGCGTCGTAGAAGAAAAAGAAAATACGAAACAAGTACAGAAAGAGAAAAGACGTGCTAGCGAGAGTGGCAGAAGGTGTTCGGTTTTCTACGTGTCACAGGATCTCCTCGAGGAAAATCAAGAATTGCTCGAGAATGAAAGAATACAGGCGGACCTTGAGGGGAAGAAGGGTCGCAGAAAATCATGGCATATTCTTGCAAAACCACCGAAACTCGATCGCAAAAGAAGAAAAGGGATCGCTGGCGTCCCGTCACCGTCACAGGTTGGAAGCACGGATGGACTTTATACACAAGCCAGACAGAAGAGGCCTTCCTGGTGGAACATATTCGTACCTGATTCCGTTGTGAGGTATTTATTGTTGTATGTCGCGTTTTATTTACATATGTGTTTAAAAATGCAAGTCTCTTGTGAAATTTTTGGACGTTAATAAGGAGATTTATTATAGTTTATATGCTATTTTATGTCTTTTATTTATATGGAAGAAGCTTTGTGAGTGTATCGTGTATAAAAGAGCAAACGTGAATGTTGTTTCGTTTTCGACTGAAATTGCGTTTCATAGTTTTCGCATCAATAATTTCAAACAGGACCGGTTTTCATATTATTCTTTTTTGGTCACAATGGTTTATTTTTATGGAAATTAAATAAATAAATTATAACGTGAATGTTTTATATCATATAATATTCTATATCATACTTTATTTTTCGCTTATAATTTGAATAAAGGTTATGATTTATTACGATATGATAGACGATAGCGGTAGAATAGATGATATTTATTAATCAGTGATACCACTGTCAGAAAAACAATCTCCATTAATTTAAAAATGAACTAGAATTAATATAGAGTTTGTTATTGTTCAATTCTATTATATCATTGTCAACAAACATAGTTACTATAGTGATTTGATTTCAAGGAAAGAATCGCAAAACAGATGCATCATATAAATATTTAGAAAAGTCTACGTGATTGAAGTCGTAATCCGGGTCGAATAATCATGTCACTTTTCAGACAATCGCATTACCATCTGCGATAACAACATACACAGCTCTAACTGAATTCAGGCAAAATGTGTTTGTATTATGTAGTAGTCGAGTGGAAAGTGCCTTGTGATAAAAACATTTGCACGCATTCCTCTAAAACCGTTAGTATTTCTGTATCAACTGTCGTGACGTCATGCCAATTTGTCGATAAGTCAGCTGTACGTTCACGATAATAGATTTAAATTATCATTCTTAAATCGTTCAATTAGAAAATAATAGTTTCTTGAAATCATTTCTTTTAAATTATAAATTTATTGCAAATGAATCCTTGATTTATGACATTTTATCTAGCGATGTTTAATCTAGCGTATTGTCTGAAACGGGAAATTTTTATGGAGTTCCCTTCAGCGTTTATTGGTAATTCCACGATTTCTTATCTTTAAACGCGGAAATCGAATATATGTGTATTTTCGTTCGTTGAAAATACAATCTCACATCGCGTCGTCTCGATCATATAAAATTGATCCGCCATGTTGATAGAAATATCGAAGGAACGCAAATCGATTTTTTGAAACTACGTCATCAGTATCGATTTTCGAGACATCGCGTCCATATTTATCTACAATTGCGTACAATTATACTTCGAATTATTTCTTTATTTTTGAGAATATTATAAAATATTTAAAATTAAATTCCTTTTTTAATTTTTTTCCTTTATTGTTTATGCGTTTAACACAAAAAGAATATAACCTGATACAAGTAAGTATTATCTATACTTGTTATTGATATTTTAATCTCAGTTAATTGATCATTGCTTCCTAGTGCTTCTGCCAATAACAAAGCTATATCAAATTGACAATGATAATTATAAATATCATTCGACATCAATATTTTGATCGTTTAATTACCATAACAAAAAGTCTGACCTTCGCGATATGATTATTCAACTGTTTTTTTATTGCTAACTAAACACTAATTTTATTGCTGTTCCAAGCATCGGCATAATTATCTTCATTAGTTTGATAATCGAATATATTTCATAAAGGAATGTTGTAATCTTATTTTTGTTACATCATCAAGCAAATTTAGTATTCTTTTTTTTTATTTTTCAGTTAATTTCATATTGCATACTTGTATCGATTATTATTTTGAACTTTTACTAATCAAAATTTTAATAAGAATTGAAGATAATAGAATCAAGATAATGAAATTGCTTCCTCAAAATCTTTGATGATAATTTTCCCATTTTATACGTTCATAAAATGCGAAGAAATCGTTGTGAAATATTTCAATTGAAGAAATTTTCCGTTTTTTATTTCGAAAAGATATTGAGAAAGAAACAACAAAAGCAAGAGAAAAAGAAATATCCGTTCCTGTTGATCAGGATTTAGTTTTCATTACTGACGAAAATATATCGAGAAAATTGGATCGATCATGTTCATAATTTTTCATATTTTCTGTGTGAAAATAAAAGCTCATCTCCACGTTAATGTAATCCAATAAATTTTCTTTTAGATAAATCTTTCTTTTTTCCTTCGATCAATTATTCGATAGATCATATGTCGTTAGTTTTTTGATTTTTGATAATTTATTTGATGTTTATACATCATTTTATACATTCGGTGAATTCCCTAGTGCACCAAATCGAAATTTATTCTTTGCTTCCTGAAACTACATTAAGGAAACATTCTTCTCGATTAAATCATATCTTTGGAATATTATAAAGATACTTCTCTTGGGAAAATTCTCAGCGGTGGGAAAATTATTTTTCTTAGAAAATAAAATGACGCCGAAAATTTATATTTAAATTTTTAATCAAAAATCTGTATGTTTTCATATAATTCATAATTTTATTATAAATATTATATTATAAATATTAATTCCTAATATTTTAATGTTAACATATCTATGTAAATTTATATTTTTGAAAATTAAATAGAGCTATTTCATTCATTAAATATTAAAATAAAAGTACTTAATAATAAATATCTAAATATCCAAAAAATTTTCAAAATATACATAAATATTCATAATCGATTAAAAAAATTAAATTAGAAAATAGTATTTATAATATAAATTTTTAAAAATAATTTCTATAACTTTTTTAACAGGGATAAATTAAATATTTTTAATCGTTTTAAATATTTTTTTTTTGGATTCGAAATATTAAACCAATAAACAAATTGGAAAAAATAATGATAAAAAATATACAAGCAATTTATCAAGATCAATAGTTACGCGCGAAAACCGGTCGAACATCTTAAAATAGTCGCCTATATTATTTTTCATTGTTCTTCACTTTTTTTTCTTTTATGAAATCTGCATTTACCATGTTTTGTAAGATATTGTGAATCTTTCTCAGTCACATGTTTGTTGCATGAACATGAAATCTCATATTTTCTTTAATTATCTCTCCCTTCTTTAGAAATAAAAAAGAGAAATTGAAAGATATGTTAACAACGAATAAAGAATTAGTACCTAATAATTAATATTTGAAAAATAAACTTCCTTTTATAAAATTATATTATAACCTCATAAAACAAAAAAAAGAATAAACAAATTTCCTTTTAATTAAATTGTTCCAGAAAAAGAGCAAACGATTATAATTGGTTGAAGTGTACTTACTCTGAAATATATATGTATATATAAAATAATAATGATAATGATGATGATAATAATAATAAAGAAAAATAAAAATTGAAGAATGATGAAATTACTGTTTTTACTTTGATCATATTTCAACTACACTTGTGTGAAACAAAAAGAAGAATGGGTATACAAGCGAATTGCACGAATTGACTTTAAAACGCGTGTTTGCTCGAAGGAACACGTACCTCTTTGAGAAAAGTTTTGTTGTCAGAAACACCTTTCTAAGAATCACTTCCGGTGTAAGTCCATTCCCGGTGTCCGATGGAGTTTGCACTTTTGCAATGTATTCCATCTTTTAAGTTCCTCCATTTTCATCATCCTTCCCTTCAAAAGGATTCTTTCATGGAGATTTTGTTTCTTGTGAACAATTAAGATGTATTTTAAACGAGTAAAAAGTATTGTAGAATAAAATAAAAATGAGAAATAAGGAAAGGCGATGCTTTTTCTTAATGAGAATTTTCATTTCCAACTGGGAAATAAAAATAAAAATAAAATACAATAAAATTAAATATGAAAATTTAATAAAAATAATCTATTTCAAATTTTTTCAAAGAATTAGTTTCCTCTAAACAATTAAGATAAAAAATTGAAAGAAATAGATTAAAAATAAGAAGGAAAATATATATAATATAAGCTTTTTCTTAATGAATTCTCATTTTCAACAGAAAGAAGGAACTAATAATACATATAAAGATGGTATGCTATAAATGTAAGAAAAAAAAACAATACTGTTTTAATTTGCCAAATCGATAATGTTATTGGTTAATTATTATATAAGAAAATTCTAGTGTTAACGAGGAAATTAGTATGAAAAAAAAATTAATAGGAACAAAATTGTACCATATCTAAAACTATTATGGTTTTAATGTATATTTCATAATATTTATACTAACTTGTCGTTGTTTATTTTATCTTTTTTATTTTTTTTGCTTTTCTGTAATAATTAAATGTAATTAACAACGATAATTTCCATTATATGTGCACAATTTTTTTAACTATAATTCTGTATTAATTATCTCAATTACAAGTAGTAAAATACTTTGTTATATATTGAAGAAATAAACAATAAATAATAAATTTTCTGGAAGATTGAAATATGAGAAGCAATATGAATTATATCATAAATAAATCATGAATCTAAAGGATATCGAAAATAGTTTATCTGTTATAGGAAAATATGGATCGTAAATTATATAAATTTCTGAAGGAAAAAGGTGTTTTTTCATTTTTTAGAAAAATATGGATCAAACATTTTTCATTATTTCTGAAAATGAAGCGAGAGAAAGAATTCTCAGAAATTTCTTATAATTTCTAAGAATAATTTATCATATGATTGTATTTTAACTTTTTCATTTATAAATTAAAAAGGATAAACTTTTTTTAATAATATACGTCTTAAGTTTATTATTTTCAAACTTAAAGGAAAACAAGCTTCTAATGTCACTGCCTTTAAACACGGCTTGTATATATTTTCATATCGCTAATTATTATGCTAATCACAATAGTGCATTTGTATACCGTTCGCATTAATAAAACCGTTGTAATATAAAATACAGGATTATATTAGACATATATAATTAAATGCTCGATTCATTCCTCTTGCTTTTCCCGTTTCGAAATTTTTCATTGAATCGTAAACGGATTGGCATAAAAACATATTTTTAGCAAATACGCAGAGTTAGCATAAAATTCTGGAACATGGGCTCAGGCACGAATTT